GAAAAAATATGAAATAATAAGATTAATTAATAATTAATAAAATTAACAAAGAATTAAAAAATAAGAAATCTTAATAAAAATAAAAAGGAAAACAAATCAAATAAATTAAAAGAACTTTAATGTTTTAAATTAACTTTTATAATTAAAAATATTATAATGTAAACAAATAAATAGCTTTTATTAAGTGTAAGTTTTAATAGCAAAAATGAAGAAAAAATATCAAATATTAAAAAATGAATTATAAATAAATAATTAAAAATTTAAATGAAAATTAAGTTAAAATTGCTAAAAAAAATTTAAATTTTAATAAAAATCAATAAATAATGGTGAAAATTTCTTTTATATAAATTATTTATTCAAATAAATTTAAAATAAAATAAACAAAAAATATTAATAATAATAAAAATAATATTTTTTCATTAAATATACCGAAGATCAATATGGAGAACCTAATGAGATAAAAGTGAAGAGCTTTTAAACTTTTTTTATTAATTTATATAAATTTAAAAGTTATTAATAAAAAAAATAATAATTACTTCTTCTAATTTGTAATATTTTTTAATCTATTATATCATTTTTTTTTTTCAAAAATATTGAATAGCAGTTTATGAAATTTAATAAATTAATTAATTGTAAATGGATCAAAAGAACAAATAAATATAATAATTAATTAATTATCAAATATTAATTTATATACAGTATAATCTGTCTACATTGGGCACCGTCGGGACCAAAGTTTTTGCCCAATATACAAAATAAAAAATAAATACATAAAAAAAACAGAAAATTAATTAATTAAACGATTTGCATTTTTCTAAAATATTTAGAGAACATTTTTTTATATAAAATAAGATAAGCATTTTAAAATTTGTAATACCACATTAATAAAAAATTACATAAATTCTTGATATGAAATAAGCTTATAAAAGCCAAATTCAACATTTACGACTTTTAAATTGATTAATTTACTCTAAATATTATTGAATAAAAATCAAATTTGAATTATTGAATGAATAAATGATAATTTAAAAAACATTTATTTTATGATTTAAAAAATATAAAATGAAAAAAATGATAATAAGATAAATTAAAAATTTGAGAGAAAAAAAACAAAAATAAACATTATAAACAAAAAAGTTAAAATAAAAAGTAAAACTTGATTTCTCCCTGAGTTTTTATTGAAATCATGGCATCTAATTAATCAAGATTAATAAAAAAATAATAAAAATATGATTGATGGATAATATTTAAGATTAAAATATAACTGTATATATATATAAAGTTTGGCGGCATTTATATAATTTAATAAGATGTAATATAACACTAAAAGTTTCAAATTGTTTGATCGTTTTTGGAGAAACAAGAGAGTTTGCTTAAGAGCATTTAAGTTTTTATTTTTTATAAATAATTTATTTACTTACAAAAATATGAATGATATTTATAAATATAAAATCAATAATAAAATCTATTTATATTTATATTTTAGGTTTAAATTTTTTTCAAAATATTATATAATAAAATATATAATATTATTCAAACATTTTATATTTATTCATCCTTTTTTCAATACTTATTTATCATTAGAAATTTAAAGACAACTAATCTTTTTGATTTACAACACTTGCTTATTACTTTGAATATTTATGATATATTCATTGAGTTATAACTTTTATAATAAATTTGTGTAAATTATTAATAAATATCAAAATAGAATAAACTTTTAAATTAAAAATTATACTTTAAATTAATAAATAAAATAATATTAGTTGAATAAAAAAGATAAAAAAATAAAATAAATAAAAGCTTAAATTCAAAGAGCTTTTTTGTTTTATATACATTTTTTTTGTTTAAAATATCACAATCCAAAACAAATAAACTGTTTTTACCTAAGGTCAAGGGTCAAATTCGAGAGATTAATGCAATTTGCTAAAGCAGAACCTAAGCCTGATGCACCTTCATCACCAATATAATTTCCACTTTTTAAATATTGAAGAAAAATTATATCATTAAATAGTTAATTAGAAGGAAAAAATGAAGAAAAAATATGAAATAATAAGATTAATTAATTAATAAGAAAAGCAAAATTTGAAAATAAAATGATGAGCTTAATTAACAAAGAAAGAACAAAAAAAAAGCAAGCACAATAAAAAGAAAAAGAAAAAAGAGCTTTATTGTTTTTAATTAGTTTTTATAATTAAAAATATCACAATCCAAATCAAATAAACTGTTTTTACCCAAGGTCAAGTGTCAAATTCGAGAGATTAATGCAATTTGCTAAAGCAGAACCTAAGCCTGATGCACCTTCATCACCAATTTAATTTTCACTTTTTAAATATTGAATAAAAATTATATCATTAAATAGTTAATTTGAAGGAAAAAATGAAGAAAAAATATGAAATAATAAGATTAATTAATTAATAATAAAAGAAAAATTTGAAAATAAAATAATGAGCTAAATTAACAAAGAAAGAACAAATAAAAGCAAGCACAATAAAAAGAAAAAGAAAAAAGAGCTTTATTGTTTTTTATTAGTTTTTATAATTAAAAATATCACAATCCAAATCAAATAAATATTTTTTACATAAGGTAAAATGTCAAATTCGAGAGATTAATGCAATTTGCTAAAGCAGAACATAAGCCTGATGCACGAATGGTTCCCTAACAATGAAACTCATAATATTCAAGAATTCTATATTAATACAGAAATAAATATATATAAATAAAGTATTAAATTAACATAAAATATAATACCTAAGATATATTCTGAGTGCATTTATATGTGCGAGTATTTCCATTTCCATTTCCATCACCAATTTAATTTGCACTTTTTAAATATTGAATAAAAATTATATCATTAAATAGTTAATTAGAAGGAAAAAATGAAGAAAAAATATGAAATAATAAGATTAATTAATTAATAAGAAAAGCAAAATTTGAAAATAAAATGATTAGCTTAATTAACAAAGAAAGAACAAAAAAAAAGCAAGCACAATAAAAAGAAAAAGAAAAAAAGAGTTTTATTGTTTTTAATTAGTTTTTATAATTTAAAATATAACAATCCAAAACAAATAAACTGTTTTTACCTAAGGTTAAGTGTCAAATTCGAGAGATTAATACAATTTGCTAAAGCAGAACCTAAGCCTGATGCATCTTCATCAGAAATTTAATTGAAACTTTTTAAATATTGAAGAAAAAATATATCATTAAATAGTTAATTAGAAGGAAAAAATGAAGAAAAAATATATCATTAAATAGAGAAAGTTACTATAAAAATTTACAAAAATTGAGTTTTATAAACCAGTTTTTCATTTTATAAAATAAAAATTTGAAATATTTTTTATGAAATTTTTTCTATCCTAGATTTTCAAAATTTATTTTTTTTCAACAAAAATGATATTTTATGCTTACTAAAAATTAGTTTATTTATAATGTTATTTAGATACAAATTAAATAGGTATTTCACTATTGTTAATTATGAGGAAAAAATATGAAATAATAAGATATATTAATAATTAATAAAATTAACAAAGAATTAAGAAATCTTAATAAAAAGAAAAAGGAAAACAAATCAAATAAATTAAAAGAACTTTAATGTTTTAAATTAACTTTTATAATTAAAAATATTATAATGTAAACAAATAAATAGCTTTTATTAAGTGTAAGTTTAATAGCAAAAATGAAGAAAAAATATCAAATAATAAAAAATGAATAATAAATAAATAATTAAAAATTTAAATGAAAATTAAGTTAAAATTGCTAAAAAAAATTTAAATTTTAATAAAAATCAATAAATAATGATGATAATTTCTTTTATATAAATTATTTATTCAAATAAATTTAAAATAAAATAAAATAAACAAAAAATATTAATAATAATAAAAATAATATTTTTTCATTAAATATACCGAAGATCAATATGGAGAACCTAATGAGATAAAAGTGAAGAGCTTTTAAACTTTTTTTATTAATTTAAATAAATTTAAAAGTTATTAATAAAAAAATTAATAATTACTTCTTCTAATTCTTAATAATATTTAATCTATTATATCATTTATTTTTTTTTTCAAAAATATTGAATAGCAGTTTATGAAATTTAATAAATTAATTAATTGTAAATAAACGGATAAAAAGAACAAATAAATATAATAATTAATTAATTATCAAATATTAATTTATATATTTGGTTTTTTTATGAAGAGATATCACATTCACTATTTAAACTTAATATTTTTATTTAAAACATATACTTAAAAATATATATAGTAGGAATTAAAGACGGCCAGTTATTTATTTAGTAATATTTGAAAAAAATCTGGTAGTTAATGTACTTAAGTATTATAAAAATAATGTTTATAAGTAGGTTTTTCTGTTTTAGCTATGTAATTTTAGGAATATTTATAATTTCTAATTATAGCATTATGCCATACAAACAAAAATTTCATGGTTTGCCTGACACTTATTATGAAATATATTTTTTATTTATTTATTTATTAAAAAATCTTATTTATATAATGATTTTATAATAGAATTATAATTAATTGTTAATTTAATCTATTTTGATTTAAAAAATAATAAATTTTTTTACATCAATTAAAAATTTATTTAAATTATTATAAATTAAATACAAATTACATGTAAATATATAAAATACTATTATATAAATTTATTTAATATTATATTAATTTCTATTAGAAAGATAAATAGTTATAGGTGTAACCTATCACTATTTATCTCTATTACAAAAAAAAAAAATCTGCAATTAGCAATATTATTTATTTTTCAAATAATCATAAATCTTTAAAACTAGGTATATATGAATGAATAAAATAAATAAATAAATAAATAAGATGAGTTTGAAATTTGTAATATAAAATTGTAAACAACTGTATATATAACTATGAAGAAAGAAAGTAGTTTTAAATGATTTTTTAGTGTGTGAATGAGTAGTCAGTTGCTATATTTCATCATCATTTCTGTAAACTCTTCAAAAGAGATTTTGCCATCACCATTTGCATCCGTTTCTCCTATTAAATCAAGCCAAATTTTATTATCTTTTTAGCTTAGGTGATTTCCTAAGACCTATTTTAATTCTTCAGCTGTGATAAAGCCATTACCATCTTAATCGAAAAGTAAGAAAGACTCTAGTAGTTTTTCTTTGGAAAGGGTTTTTTTCTCCATAGTTGCAAGGATAAACTCTGTATAGTCAATTGCACCACTTTTATCTATATCTACTTAATTCATAATTTTATTAACTTCAAATTCTGCTTCTTCGGCTGACATAAATTATCTATAGCCTTCGAAAATTTCGTTTTTTGTTAAAATACCATCACCATTTTTATCAAGAGCCTTTTTTTTTTTATTGATTGATTAAATATATTACATGTATAATATAGGATGTAAAATTACTTTAAATATTTTATTTAGCTGATTTTTTTCGTCTTTAGAAGTGCACTAGCTAGCTATAAAAGTTAAGGCAGCCTATTGAAGCTTTCTTTCTGCTCTGAAATTTCTTAAAGCGAGCAACCTTGCCCTGAAAGCTTCTGTGTCTATTGTTTCTTTTTATTCAATCAAACTAAACCACTTATGCTCCAAAACTTGGGAAGCAGATAAACGATTCTTAGGATTATACTCTAACATTTAGCGAATCAAGTCTTTAGCTTCTTCACTTACATGTTTTAAATTATCACCTTAAGAGTTTTATAAAGTTTTCGTTATTATAAAACTATTGAGTAGTTTATTTATTTAAAACACTTTACATTTACATCATTAAAAAAAATAATTTCATACCTTCAAGAGAGTATTGCCCTTTTTCAACATTTGCCATTATTTCCAGTTCGTTTTTACCTCCAAAAGGCGGTGTTCCAGAAAGTAAAATATAAAGAATTACTCCGCAACTCCAAACATCGCATTTCTCGTTATATGATTTTTTAAGTACTTCTGGCGCAATATAATAAGGTGTTCCGAACTTTTCAACCATCACTTCATCTTATTCGAAAATCTTAGAAGTTCCCCAATCAACAATCTAAAAATCAAAAACAAAATAATCAAATTAGATCAAAATGTTATAAATAGAATTAAGAAGACAAAGTAGAAAACTTATCATTAACTGAATTACCATTTTTAAATATGAGTGAAATTGAATAAAAATGATTAATTGTTTTTATAAAATATTGCAATTTTGAGCTAAATATTAACAAAAATACTAATTATTTAGTTATTTGACTAATAAATTATGCAATTTTTTATTATTTGAATTGAATATGTAAAACCATTCTAAAGTTTAATCAAAAATATTGTTTTCTTATTTTCAAAAATAAATATTAAAAGTGAAATTTCATCAAATTTGGTCAAAAATTGAAAAATTGTTTGAAATTAAAATAATAATTTTTAATGATGTTGCATAAAATAAAGAAAGAAATAATTTTTTAAGTTGATTGATTTATTTAAATAATTTAATGGTTAATTCTAAATGTTGAATAAAAATGATTAATTGTTTAATTAATCATTGAGAATTTGGTTGTTAATATTGAGTTAAAATATTTAAAATCTTAACATTAAATTGATATTTTTCTTATTGAAAATATATAAAAATGAATATTTGTTAATAAAGTATTCAAATTTTTCACCTAATTATCAATAAAGAATTTATTTTTTGATTAGTAAATTTTATGATTGCTTGAATTGAATTGAATTAAATGAAGATAAAAAGATATTATGATTTGTTGATGTGAAATAAAAATGATTGTTTGTTTATTTATTTATTTGATAATAAAACATTAAATTAGAAAAGATAGCTTTTATGTGTTAGTTAGTTAGTTAGTTGGTGTGGCTATTAGATATCTGTTTATTATTTATTGGTTTTTATATTTAGGCAGAATAATTTGAATATAGCTTGTTTGCTTGAATATGAGTTATTTATTAGAATATGAAATAGATTTTGTAGTTTTTGTTCTAAGGTAATTTTAGAGTGAATAAGTAAGAGGGCAATGAAGGTATTATTTACCTTGATATTATACGTGCCATCAGACGTTATGTCAAGGAGAATGTTTTCTGGCTTTAAATCTCTATGAACTATCTTATGGTTGTGCGCATAAAAGACTGCAGATACAATTTGATTCATGATATAAGAAGCTTCTTTTTCTGAGAAAGAGCCTTTTTCTATAATTTTAGCAAAGAGCTCTCCACCAGTACACATTTCTAATATAATGTAATAGTTGTTATTGTCTTGATACTGCTCGTAAATTTTGAGAATGTGGGGATGGTCTAATAATCTTAAAATTTCTACTTCATTTATAAATTTTTGTTAATCTTCCGAATTAGTTAGGCTTCTTTTATTGATAATTTTCATCGCTCTGACTGCTTTTGTTTTTCTATTTGTAACTTTCCTGACCTGTGAAAAGGCTCCGACTCCCAAGACTCCGCCTAACTTGTAGTCGTCCGTGTAGGAGCCTGTTTTTGCATTGATTAATTTGCTAAACTTGATCTGTAAGTGATCTAAATTAGATGATGCCTTAGTAGACTATAAATAATTTTTATACAAATAAATTGCAATAATTATAAAATTTACTGGAATCTATTTCTCAGAAACTAACATCTCCTTTAAAGGTTATGTAGCCATATTTAAAATAGGACAGTTACTTACTTATTCCTATAAATATTGTAAGGTAATTATTAAAAATCTCACATTAACTTATTTATTTATTCATACACTTATAAAGCTTTTTCTCTTTTACAGATGATACCTAATATTAATTAATTGACAGATTAATAAATAAACAACTTCATTTAATATATTTATATTATTCTTTTAAACATCAAATTCGAATTTATTTATTTACTTATTTATTTAATTATTAACTAATTAATTCCTTTCTTGAACAATTCTCCTTTCATAATTAAAGACCACCTACAAACCAACCTAAAAAAAAACAAGAAAACAAACTAACAAACAAACAATACAATTAGTTTAATTAATTGCCTTCTAATAGTAGTAATATAATTAATCAATTTTCTGAACAATAGTACCTATCGCTTACTTACTGCTGGTTCTAAATCATTCAATCCAAATTAAACCAGTAGAAACAAAAATGAATTATCAATGCATTAATAAGTATTTTTTAAATTATATTCGGTTGATTTATTTTAAATTTTCCTTGCTATTCAAAATGATTTTTCTTTCGTTTTAAAAATATTTTTTATTCATTTATTTCAATTCAATTTTGAAGATATTCTTTCTTAAATTACTTATTCATTTTATTTTCTTGCCAAAAAATCAAAGTCTACCTTAAAAACTTCAATATTTTATTTTTAAAATAAGACAAAAAATCATACAGAAAGAAATAGAAAAATTAAATTCGTTATAAAAATCAAGAAAATTCTATCTTTACTTTTTTTTTTTAGAAATGTTAATCGTTTATTTCCTTTAGTTTTTTTAAATTGACAAATTCAACTTTCAAAGCTTAAAAAATATCAAAATAGATCAACATTCAATATAAAATTAAAACTCAATCAAGATAAATAAGTATTTATTTATTGACTATATTTTGTTGCGAGTTCAATTTGTAATTATTTATTTTTTATTAATTTCTTTTAATGAAAATAATTAGATAAATTAAATAAAAAATTAAAAAGAGCAATTAAAAGTAAATGAGGCGGCTTATTATTTTCTTAATTTATTTTGTTTTTGTTTATTTTTGTTTTGTTGTTTGTATTTATTTATTTATTTAATTTAATCTTTAATTTTATATTGATTTTTTCTTTTTAAATTTGAATTTATTTGTTTTTCATTATTTTCTTAATTAAATTTATTTATTCTTTTATTAACTTTTTTTCTTTTTCTAATTTATTCTTTTTAAAAAATTCTTTCTTTCTTATTCAATCATAATAGCTTTTCAATGATTAATTCTTCGTATTTTAAGAGAGTTAGGCGGCGAGAACGAGAACGAGAGAGATTCTATTTTTTATGCTATAGCTTTTAATTAAAATAATACTTTTTATAATTTTTTTAAGACTAAGAGAGAATGGATTTTTTTAAAATGCATCCACATGCATATTATTTGTTTTTTGTAATTTTTGAAATTCCAACACAAGAAAGTAATCATTTGTGTGTGTTTTTAAGAACATGATTGATTTCGCAGTATTATTAGTGTGGTATGTACTGTTAAAAACTTAGAGGAACTAAACTTAGAGAAAATGTTTTAGTTTGTTAAAAAATTGTTACTAATAATATTAAAAATCAATCACTTTCTTTTTCCTTTTGTTAATTTACAAAGATTTTCAAATTAATTAATTATACGAATCAGAGCAAATTAGAAAATTTTTATTGACTAATACAAAAATTAATTAATCTTTAACTCAATTTTCGATTTTTTCTCCTCTCTTATCTAATTAACAAATTAAGATTCGAATCCTCCTTTCTTGAATCTTTCAAATCAAAAATAAATTGGAAAAATATAGAAAGATTATAAATAAATCAATACTTACTTTTAAAAATTAATAATTATAATAGATTTTATTTTTTTAATTTTAAAATTTAAAATTAAAATAGTAAATAATATCTATTGATTAATGGATTAGAACCGAATATTTAACTAGATAAAACTTTAAAAGAAGTAAGAAGAATATCTTTCTTCTTTATTTATTTCTTTCTTTCTTTCTTTCTTTCTTTCTTCATTTATTCATTCATTCTTTCTTTCTTTCTTCCTTTATTTTGAATTCAACTTTTTAAGAATTTTAATGATTATTAGAATCAAAATAAAATTTTTGATAACAATAAATATCAATGAGTTTATTTATATAAAACACTTCAAGGTTTTAAAATAATTATAAAAGCAGAAGCGCTAGAATTTAATTCGTGAATTTTATAAATAAAGAAAGAAAGATTATTAATAAAATAAATAAATAATTTTATTTATAATTTTATCATAAGGTCCTTTATTTAATTAGAAAATGAAATTTCTGGTAGTATATTATAAATATCGTAAACATTCTAATTAAATTTTTTCTAAATTTAGGTGAAAATTTTTATAAAAAATTATTTTTTTTGAATATTTTTAAATTTAAACCTTTTACCTACCTATCCTACCATCTCTTACTCATGCTGGTATATTTTGTATTTTACATATTAATATTATTAAGATTTACTTACGAATGAATGCTACATTTACTATTTTGCTTTAATTCTTTCTAAGAGAGAACTTTATAAATTTATTTTTTGATCTTAATAAACAAGTAAAAAGATAAATTAATTCATAAATATATTAATTAATAATTAATTAAATTTCCAAATATTGCATTGAATATTTTTAAATTTAAACCTTCTACCTACCTATCCAACAATCTCTTACTCCTGCTGGTATATTTTGTATTTTACATATTAATATTATTAAGATTTATTACTTACGAATGAATGTTACATTTACTATTTTGCTTTAATTCTTTCTAAAAGAGAACTTTATAAATTATATCATTTATCTTATAAAAACATTTATTTTTTTGATCTTAATAAATAAGTAATAAGATAAATTAATTCATAAATATTTTTATATTTAATTAAATTTCCAAATATTTCATTTAAAATTTTCAAAAAATAAATAAATAAATAGATGATAAAATAGAAAATATATTTCAAAGATTTAGAAGAAGTAAGTATTTATTTTTTCTAAATATTCTTTAAATTTATTTTTATTAATAAAAAAAGTTTTTAAGCTCTTCGCTTTAATCTCATAAAGTTCTTTATATTAATTAAAAGTAAATTTACTTTATTTAAATATAAATTTTAAATCTTTATTTATATTTTATTTACAAGTGACTCACAATTATTTTTTTCAAATAGATGTTCTCAACTTTTATTCATTCATTCATTCATTAATTTTTAGTTTTACAAATCTTTTTTTAATTGTTTGTTTTAACTATTAAATTTATTTTTGTTTATTAATTAATTTATTTCTTATTATTTCATATTTTTTCATCATTTTTCCTTGTAACTAACTTGCTTTCTTTCTTAAATATATAAAAAGTGGAAATTAAATTGGCTCAATTGGCGCATCAACCTTAGCTTCTGCTTTAGAAAAGTGTACTAATCTCTCGAATTTGACACTTACTCTAAAGTAAAAATGCATTATTTGTTTAGTGTTTTTATATTTTTTAATATAAAAAATTAATTTAAACAAATAAAGTTTTTTAAATTAATTAATTTATTTATTATTATTTTTTATTGTACTTGTGTTTTTCTTTCTTAATTAATTAAATGAATTAATTATTTGATTTTCAAATCTTATTATTTCATATTATTTCTTTATTTTTATTTCAAGTGACTAATTAATAAAATATCTTTTTCAATATTTAAAAAGTGAGAATTCAATTGGTTCTGAATCTGCATCATGCTTAGGTTTTTCTTTAGTAAACTGCACTAATCTCTCAAATTTGACACTTGATCTTAGGTAAAAATATGTTATTTATTTTCAATTTTAATATTTTTTGAATTAAAAACTCATTTCATTTATTTATTTTTTGTTCTTTGTTTCTTAATTTAAAGTATTTGTTTATTTAATTTTTATATTTATTCTTAATTAATTTCTTATCATTTCATTTTTTTTTTTCATTTTTTGCTTCTGGCAAACTAATTAATTAAGTAATTATATATTTTTCTTTAATGTTTATAAAGTGAAAATTTAATTGGTAATATCGGAGCATCAGGCTTAGGTTCTGCTTTATCAAAGTGTACCTTTCTGAAAAATTTGAATCTTAATCTAAAGTAAAAATAGTTTATTAGTTTTAGATTCAGATATTTTTGAAAATAAAAATAAATTTAATAGAATATTTACTTTTAATTTATTTATAATTAAATTTTTATTTCATTTATTTTTTTTTTTTATGAGCATGTGTTATTTTATTTCTTAAATTATTAAACTATTATTTATGACTTTTTTTTTTGATTGTTAATAAATTCACTTCTTACTGTTTCATATGTTTTCTTCATCTTACCATCTATCTATCTATCTATCTATCTATCTATCTATCAAACTAACTATTTAATTAAGTTTTTTTTGTTTCAAAATTTAAAAAGGTGGAATAAAATTAGTGATGAAGGAGTTTCAGGCTTAGGTTCTGCTTTAGCTAAGTGTTCTAATCTCTCAAATTTAGCACTTAATCTTAGGTATGATCAGTTTAATTATTTTAGATTTCTATATTTTTAATATAATAATTAATTTAAAAAATCTATCTTTGTAATTAATTTATTTTTTTCTTTCTTAATTTAAAACATTCATTTTTTCATTTTCAAATTTTAATTTCATTAAAAATTGATTGATTTGATTCTATTTTTATAATTCACTATTTTTCTTATGTTTTCCTTCTAATCAGTTGATTAATTAATACAATTAAAACATCTTTTTCAATATTGAAAAAGCGGAAATTAAATTGGTGATAAAGGTTTATCAGACTTAGGATTTGCTTTAGAAAACTGCACTAATCTCTCAAATTTAACACTTTATCTTCGGTAAAACCAGTTAGTCTATTTGTTTTAGATTTTGATATTTTTGAATATAAAAATAAATTATAATAATAAAGCTCTTTTAATTTATTTATTATTAGCTTTTTTATTTTACTTGTATCTTTTTTTCATACAAAATTTAATTCATTCTTTTTTGATTCTGCACTTTCGCTTTTATTATTTATTAATTCGTTAATTAATTTCTAAGTATTTCATATAGCTTTTTTCCTTCTAACTAATTTTAACATTTTTTTAAATATTAATAAAGTAACAATATAATTTGTGAAGTTAATGAATCATGCTTAGGCTTCGATTTAGAAAAATGCATTAATCTTTCTAATGTGATACTTGATCTTTCGTAAAAACAGCTTATTTATTTTGGAAATTGATATTTTTTAATAAAAAACGAATTGAAAAGAATATTACTTACTTTTTTAAATTATTTTTGTATAAGCTTTTTATTTGAATTATTTTTCTTTTTTATTTATTTCACTTATTTTTTTATTTGTTTCTTAATTCAATTCATTTATCTATTTATTTTAAACTTTTGCTTTTATTATTAATAAATTCACTTTTTATTATTTTATATTTTTTCTTCATTTCTTCATTCTAAATAACAAATTAATGAAATTTATTTTCTTCAATGCTTAAAAAGTGGAAATTAAATAAGTGATTAATGCGCATCAGACATAGGTTCTGCTTTAGCCAGGTGCACTAATCTCTCTAATTTGACTCTTGATATTGAGTAAAACATTTTATTTATTATATTTTTTAATATATTCATGAATTTAAAACAATAAAATTAACTCTTTGAATTTATTTTTACTTGAATTATTTATTATTTTTATATTTTTATTATTTTTTCTCTTTTTTAATTACCACATTCATTTTTTTATTTTCAACTTTTGTTTTGATTATTAGAGTAAAATACCTTTTTAATTTTAAATAGGTAAAACTAATGAATATTTAATTTAAAAGAAATTTAGACAATTTTTTAATATTAAAAATAATTCAAAAAATACCTTTTTTTATTATTTTAAATTTTTTTAAAATTAATAAAATAATATATATTTATTTCTCTACTAAATTTATATTACTTACTCGATAAATAATTATTCGTAATTAATTTCTTATGATTTCATATTTTTTATTTCTAAATAATTAATTAATTTTTTATTTTATTCAAAATTTATCAAGAAAAAATAAAATTGGTGTAATTGGTGCTTAAGGTTTAGGCTCTGCTTTAGCAAAGTGCACTATTCTCAAACATTTGGAACTTAATCTTAAGTTAAATCAGTTTATTTATTTTAGATTTAAATTAACTTTAACATTAAAAATGAAAATAATAAAACTCTTTTAATTTTTTTATTTATTAATTTTTTATTTGAATTTTCTTTTTTATTATTCTAGTTTTATATATTTATTCTTTCTTTCCTTATTAATAGAATGCATAAATTTTTTTATTTTCAAATTTAATATGATTATTGATCAATTCATTTACTATTATTTCATATTTTTTCTTCATGTTTTTCTTAAAGCAAACTAATTTACAAAATATTTTTTCTTCAAAAATTTAAAAAGTGACAATTAAATTGGCGATAAAGGTGCATCAGGCTTAGGTTGTGAGTTAGCAAAGTGCACTAATCTCTCAAATTTGTCACTTTACCTTTCGTAAACACACTTTATTTGTTTTAGATTTTGAATTTTTTTAATATAAAAACCTAATTAAATAAATATTTCTCTTTTAATTTATTCACTTTTTATTTATTTTATTTTTTGCTTTAAATCGTTATTTTATTGTCAACTTTTGCTTTTATTAGTTAATTAATTAGTTAATTAAGTAAGTAAGTAAGTAACTTCTTATAATTTCATATTTTCTCTTCATTATTTCCTTTTAACTTACAGTTAATTACATATTTTTTGTTGGGTATTTATAAAGGTGGAATTAAATTGGCGATGAAGGTTCATTAGGCTTATGTTCTGCTTTATCAAATTACACTAATCTCTCTAATTTTGAACTTCACCTTGAGTAAAAACAAATATTTTATTTGGTTTGGATTTTTATGTTTTTTATGATAAAAAGCGAATTTTTTTTAAACAACAACACTCTTTTAACTTGTTTATTTATTTATTGATTTGCTTTTTATTTGATTTATTTTTCTTTTTTTATTGTCTTAGTGTTTTGTTTTGTTTTTTAATTTAAGTTATTAATTTTTTCCTTGATAAATATTTTTTAACTTCTTATTATTTGGTATATTTATTTTCTTGATTTTTTCATTCAAACTGATTTATTTAAATTTTTTTCAATATTTAAAAAGTTATAATGAAATTGGTTCAATTGGTGCTTAAAGTTTAGGTTGTGCTTTAGCAAGCTACACTAATCTCTCTAAACTCGTACTTCATCTTAAGTAAAATAAGTTTATTTGTTTGTTTTAAATTTTTACATATTTACATTTTTAAATTTTAAATTAAATTTATTATTTTTAAGCCGATTATTTGATTTATTTTTCTTTATATTTGTGCTTGTGTTTTTTTTTTTTTTTTTTAATTCATTTTTTGATTATTTAGTTTTTCATTGGTTATTAATTTATTAATTTCCTATTATCTCATATTATCTCTTGTAAATCAAAATTTAATAGCAACAATTTAATTGGCTAAATTGGTGCATCAGCCTTGGGTTCTGGTTTGCAAAACTGTACTAATCTCTCAGATTTGACAATTTATCTTAGGTAAAAGCTATTTTTTTGTGTTGTGTTTTGATATTTTTAATATAAAAATGAATTTAAAACATTTATTTTTCTTTTATGAATTCATTTTTTGATTTTCACAATTGGTTGTATTGTTTTTAATTAATTAATTTGCTACTATTTCATATTTTTTCTTCATTTTTTCCTTCGAAGTGAATAATTAGTGTAAGTCCTCATAAATTAAGTCCAAATTAATTAAGGCTAAAAAAAATATTTTTTTAAATAAAAAAGTGATTTTTACTTGGCTCTAAATTAAGATGACTTACAGTACATAAAAACATTTTTTAATATTTAAATAGTGGAAATTAAATTGGTAATGAAGGTGCTTCAGATTTATGTTTTTCTTTATAAAACTGTACTAAGCTCTAAAACCTGACACTCGTTCTTAGGTAAAAGCAATTTAATTTACTTGAATTTTGATATTTTTTAATAAGTAAATGAATTTTAAAATAAAATAAATTTATTTTATTAATTTTTTATTTGAATTATTTTTCTTTAATATTTGAGTTGTGTTTTCTATCATTTTTAATTTAACTATTTAATTTTTTTGTTTATTTTTAACTTTTTCTTTGATTATTAAATAATTAATTAAATATTTACTATTTCAAATACTTTCTTCATTTTTTCCTTTCTAATTGGCTAATTAATTATACTTTTTTTCTTCAATACTTAAAAAGGAGGAATGAGATTGGGGCTATTTCAGCAGGCTTATGTTCCATTTTAGATAAATGCACTAATCTCTTAAATTTGACACTTGATGTCTTGTAAAAGCAGTTTATTTGTTCTGGCTTGATTTTGATATTTTTGAAAAAAAAAAAAAAATTTAATTATTTCTTTTAATTTATTTATTAGCTTTTTATTTGATTTATTTTTCTTTTTTATTTGAATAATGTTTTTCTTTATTTATTTCTTTCTTTCTTAATTTAAGGCATTCATTTTTTCAGTTTCAACCTTTGCTTTGATTATTAATTGATTTTCATATTATTTGAAATCGTTTAATTCATTTTTAATTTCTTAAATATTTAATAAGTCAAAATTAAATTGGTGATGAAGATGTGTCAGACTTGGGCTCCACTTTAGAAAAATGCACAAATCTCTAAAATATTTCACTTGATTTTAGGTAAAAATAGTTTATTTGTTTTGAATTATGATATTTTTTTAATACTGTAATAAATTTAAAAGAATACAAATAAATCTTTTAATTAATTTATTAGAATTTTATTTAATTTACTTCTCTTTTTTATGTAATCTGCTTGTATTTTTCTTTCTTTCTTAATTTAATGTATTCTTTTTTTCATTTTTAGCTTTTGTTTTGATTATAAATTATTTTATTTTTTTCTTCATGTATTCGTTTAAAATAGCTTATTAATTATTTATTTTTTCTTCAAAATTTAAAAAGTCGCAATAATATTGATGCAATTGGTGCATTATTATTAGGTTCTGGTTTAAGAAAGTGCACTAATCTTTTAAATTTGAGACTTTGTCTTAAGTAAAAACAATTTATTTGTTTAGGATTTTGATATTTTTTAATATAAAAATGAATTTAAAGCAAAATAATTCTTTAAATTAATTTATTTATTTATTAGATTTATATTTGATTTATTTTTTTTTATTTAATTCTAATTTTTTTATTTAATGATTTAAAATATTATTTAAATTAAAAAATTTAATTCTATTAATTTTAATTTGTATTTTATTTAAAAGTAAAAAATTAATCAATAAATCAGAATAATTGATGGTAATGAGCAAGTATCTTAAATTAAAAAGATTAGTTGTCTTTAACTTATTTTTCGATATTTGACTAAAAAATAGAAAAAAGGATGATTAAATGTTAAAATATTTAAATAAAATAATAAATATGTATTTCTTTTTTTAATTTTGTAATAGACTATTTAATCTAAAATATAGATAGAAATATAACTAACTATTTTCATATTTTTGTAAGTTAATAAATAGCTTATTAAATATATAAATAAATACATTTTAAAAGTTAAATTTGCTTAAAAAAATTATTCCTCTAAACTAGTATTTTCAAATATATAATTCCTTCCTTAAGTGCTTCTAATGCCAAATCTAATATTTAGATCAGCTTCTCATCTAGCTTAGCTGAAGATAAAATATTCCCATTCGATGTTAACTTTACATTACCATACACTTTTTACCAAATTAAGCCTCTTGCTGTTTCCAAAAGTCAGCCAGCTTTAATCAAAAACGACTAAGTTAATTTTTAAATATTTTTTGTTTCATTTTAAATTACAGATATGCGAAGCTTTATCATAAAAGTTAGTTAGTTAGTTTTATTAAAATAAATGTTTTAAAAATATAAATAAAAAATAAATAAAAATTAAATAATAGCTTTGACTAAAATTTATCAACAAATTAAGTTTCTTTGATAATTATATTTTATTACATTAATAATAAAATTATATTCTGTAAAATATTATATTAGACCTTAAAATCAGCTAAAAGCAATTAGAAAAGAAAAAATCAAACATGAAATTGAAGAATCAAAAAAGAATAAAAAAATTAAAATAATAAAAGAAAAACATATCCTGGTTGGATAGAAATTTAATATAAAAAAGAAATTAAAGACTAAAAATAAAAATAATATTTAAATCAATATGTTTTTAAAAATCTATTTTTTTTTTAAATAAAAATAATACAGTTTAAATTGTTTAAAATTTAATTATTAAAATATTTTAAACAGTTGAATTAATTTATATGAAAAAAAATTTTCATTAATTTTAATATATATTTATTTATGTATTAAAATATTAATTTCATTTATAAATTAACTAACAGTTGTATATTTTAAATTATATTTAAACAATAAATTAATACAAAAAAAAATTTTTTTTTTAATGAATATGTTAAAACTGTGCTTAATTTAATTTAATTAATATTAATTTATAATTAAATATATTATTATATTCTAATTTTTTTATATTTTTTCAGTTGCCCAGTTTAATTTTAAATTTATATACAAAATCAATTATATCTATAAAATTGATAATATTTATAAAAATATAACTCTAATAAAATAGATAATAGAAAAGTAATTAATAAATCAGTTAATAATAAATGATTTTGTCAAACATATAAAAAAGTGTTTATTTAAAAAATAAATTTAGATGCACACAAATTAAACAAAAAATAAAAAATCAATTAATTTTCCCAAATAATTAGTTTTTCAGTTTAAATTTCACAAATGTATTAATTAAACAAACTAAAAAAATTTATTGTTATTTAAATCATTCTAGATATATATCCAAAGATTTTATATTTTAGCACTTCTACAAGTGTATTCTAATGTTCTTAGCTCCATCTGCACCAAGATTATTCCACCTATGAAAATAATAAATTATGAATGTGTTGAAAAGAATGAAAATAAAATAGAAAAAGAATTAATAAATGGGTTAATAATGAATAATTGTCCTAAACATATTAAAAAGTGCTTATTTATTTTGATGCAATTAATTCAAATAATTGTTTCAATTCGCTAACAAATAAATTTAGATGCACAAAAATTAAACAAAAAATCAAAAATAATTTATGAGCTGTGAATCAATCAATCAATCAATCAATTAATTTTCTAAACCCATTTGTTTTTCAGTTTAAATTTCACAAATGTATTAATTAAAACGGTATGAATTCATTAAAACTAACTAAATAAATTGATAGTTAGTTAAATTACCTTAGATTGAGATTCAAAGATGTTATGTTTTGGCACTTCTCCAAGCTCATTCCAATGTTCTTAGCTCCATTTGCACCAAGATTATTTTACCTATGAAAATAATAAATAATGAATGTGTTGAAAAGAATGAAAATAAAATAGAAAAAGAATTAATAAATGGGTTAATAATGAATAATTGTGATAAACATATTAAAAAGTGCTTATTTATTTTGATGCAATTAATTCAAATAATTGTTTCAATTCGCTAGCAAATAAATTTAGATGCACAAAAATTAAACAAAAAATCAAAAATAATTTATGAGCTGTGAATCAATCAATCAATCAATCAATCAATTAATTTTCTAAATCCATTTGTTTTTCAGTTTAAATTTCACAAATGTATTAATTAAAACAAACTAAATAAATTGATAGTTAGTTAAATTACCATAGAATGAGATTCAAAGATGTTATGTTTTGGCACTTCTCCAAGCTCATTCCAATGCTCTTAGCTCCATCTGCACCAAGATTATTCTCCCTATGAAAATAATAAATAATGAATGTGTTGAAAAGAATGAAAATAAAATAGAAAAAGAATTAATAAATGGGTTAATAATGAATAATTGTGATAAACATATTAAAAAGTGCTTATTTATTTTGATGCAATTAATTCAAATAATTGTTTCAATTCGCTAACAAATAAATTTAGATGCACAAAAATTAAACAAAAAATCAAAAATAATTTATGAGCTGTGAATCAATCAATCAATCAATTAATTTTCTAAACCCATTTGTTTTTCAGTTTAAATTTCACAAATGTATTAATTAAAACTAAGTAAATAAATTGATAGTTAGTTAAATTACCTTAGATTGAGATTCAAAGATGTTATGTTTTGGCACTTCTCCAAGCTCATTCCAATGTTCTTAGCTCCATCTGCACCAAGATTATTACTACTATGAAAATAATAAATAATGAATGTGTTGAAAAGAATGAAAATAAAATAGAAAAAGAATTAATAAATGGGTTAATAATAAATAATTGTGATAAACATATTAAAAAGTGCTTATTTATTTTGATGCAATTTATTGGGATATAATTTCTATTTACAAGCAAATAAAATTATTCTTAATAAAATAAGTATTAATAAAATTAAATAAAAAGTCGTAAAGTAAAAAATTAAAGATCTAAAAATAGAAATGGGAGATATTTAGAGAATTAAATAAACTCTACAATAAATAAATAAAACTTTTCAGTATTTAATATTTGCAATTTTATTTAATTTAATTATTGAATTTTGATATCTTATTTTCAATTTAAATTAATTCTATCTTTCATTTCATTTTATTAAGGCTAATAAAATTTTTAATAACTTTAAATTTCAAAGTTATGAAACAATAAAGATGTTTAAAATAAATTTTATTTATAATATTTAACTTTACAATAATTCTGATAAACTATAACTTTAATTAAATGAAAATAAGTAGATTTCCTTATGGTTTATAATCTATTAGCAAATAATAATTCATTTAAAGTTATAGAAAAATAACAAATTTTGAAATTTTTGTTTAGATACTTAAAAAATAAGTACAAAAAAATTATTTAGATTTATTTTAGGGGAAAAATATCAATTTATTAAATTAAATATCAATATTTAATATTTGATGTTATTTGAATAATTTATTTTTAAAATAAATTAAAATAAAATTTTTTATCTATTTAAAATTATTTCATAATAATATTAATACCCGAAATCAAGATCTAAGTGATGAACTAACCTTTTTTCTATACATTCCTAGATTTTAGAGAGATTACTGTAACCCTTAAAAGCATACTTATCTAATCTGACTTCATTTTGTTTGCATGTGTAGTTAAATTTAAGGAAAGATTGTCTGAATTTTGAAATCATCAAATTAGACTCAGTTAAATCCAATTTGTCCTTTACTGCAAAAATGAATTCACTCTCTAGTTTTATTCTTAATTTATTTAATTGCTTAGTTAGCTCAAAAGAATCGATTCTATTCTAAGGCATTACTTCAAGCATTTAAACTATAATTTAGTTAATATCTTAAAATAAAGCATTTTTGCATATATAGTTTGGTAGTTGTCCATTTCTGATAAAAGTACAATCTTTGTCTTCAAGAAACTTTCCTAGGGTTAATTCAAGTAGAATAATTCCTAAGCCATAAATATCATACTTTAAATAAAAAATTAATTAAAAATAAGTAAATAAATAAATTAAAAAATAATTTAATAAATTTACTTTAATATTGAAGAAACCATTATCATCTGTTAATTCAGGAGCTGCATACTTTCTTGTAAATCCTTTGAGCTTTTATATATTAAGAATGTAAAATACAAATAAATCTGTATCGAAATAGCTTCTAATAAATAAAGAGTGTTAAGAATTTTTATATTTTAGAAAAATGGTAAACCTTTGATAAATTTGAATTAAATGCTTTAAAATAAGTGTTGATATTCTAAAGATAAATAGTGTTGAAACTAATTTGGATGATTGTAAATAAATTTGAAAAATAAATAAATTTATTAATTACATCATAAGTTTTTGATCCATCTTTAAATGATTTAGAATCTCCGAAATCACCTTTAAGATTATATATAAGAATTTAGGCTAAAATAAACTTATAAATACTATAAAATTTAACTCAATAAAATTAAAAGTAAATATTATATATTTTAAATATGTATTTAGTAAGAAATATATTTTTATTTAAAATATTCAAACTGTATATTATTCTTTTATATAGATATCTATTATAATCATGTTTTTTGATGGGGAGAAGATTAAATTAACTTACAGTATATTTTGTTTGTTTTTTTGTTTGTTTGTTCTTTTGATTGAAAAGTTTTTTAATCCAAAAGTTTAAAAATAAAATAAAATTTAAAATAACATTAAAAATTGATTTACATAGATTAAAACATTTTTCTTAGCTATCATATAGGATATTCTCTGGTTTAATATCAGAGTGAATCAGATTATTTTACTAAATTTTTTCAAAGACTGTTGACATCTGAATAGCAAAACCAACTATTTAGTTGAGTGGTAGTGGTTTTTTTTTATCAAAGAAGCTTTACATTATTTCTCTAAGATTACCTAAAAAATTGAATAATTTTAAAAACTAAAAAGAAAAAAAGTTGAATTTTACATGAATATTTTTTAGAAATCTGATAGTATTTCGATTTTTTTTTATTTAAAAACTCTTCGATTGATTTAAAAACATAAGGAGTATCCTTTAACAATTTCATAATTTTTTCTTCTTCTTGGATTTTTTCAAATTTAGGTTTACTACATTTGACAGCTACTATTTCTTCATTGTACTTAGCCTCAAACACACATCCATTACCACCTTATGAAATGTAGGAAGTTAAGTATATCTTCTTCTTTTGAAGCTCATTGTAAATCGATGTTAGTTCATCTTAATCAAATATCATAGTCACTTTATGTTTCTTTTAATAGTCCTCAAAAATTCGCTAAAATTTTTCTTCAGGTGCCTAATATTTAAGTTCAGCGTCTTGCTATTATTGCATCATTAGTAACAATTGCTAATATATAAAATAATTATAATGTTTAAAGTATAAGAATAAAAAATTTTTTTTTAATTTGAATAATATATTTTATTTTATAACCAAATCTTTTTTATTTACCTTTTTTATTTCTTTCTTTTCTTTCAATTAATTTCTTTCTTTTTTTCTTAATTAAATTATTAAAATTTATTAATTAAAAAAGTATAAAAATTATTAGAGAATGATTATTTTTTTTGATAATTAATTAAAAATAATTAGTGATTTTCCCCAAAAACCTCAATCAAATTTATTCTATTGCTTCCAGAATAATTTAAATGATAATTAATTAATATCAACCAATTTCACTTTATTATGTTATAAATATTTATTTATTACAGCTAAATAAAAAGAAAATAAAAGTTTTTAAAATCTATTAAATATTCATTATAGCCATTACAAAATCAAAAAGGCATTTAACTCTAATTAATAATAAAAAATTGAGAAAAGTTTATTTAAAAATAATTTTTTTTTTCTTACTTAGGTCCCATACCCAATCTAAAAAATTTTATTTATGCCCCGTAGGTCCATTACCTCATTTTATATTATATTTTTATTAAATTAAATTTAATTACTTTTTTGAACTTTCTTATTTCTACTTAGCTTAGTTATAAGCTAAACAATTAATTAATAAAAAACAAATATATGTAATTAAATGCCATTCACTTATCTAGTCATTTCCAAAAGACTAGATTTTTGAATGGAATTTTGCTATATATTTGTAATAATAAGAAACTAAATATTTGCTATTATCATAATTATGTATTGGATTTAGATAAGATGTAAAGGATATTGAGAATGCGAACTAATTAGAACTTTCGAATTCTCATTATCCTTTTTTTCCAATCTCTAGTTTCTACTTTATTTTTAAACGCAAGTTTGAAATAGAAATATTAAGATTTAATAATTAATGTTACACTAAATTTTTTGTATTTTTCTTAGTAAAAGCAGATTTAAAAATTAATATAAAAATATTTGCTCTTTTTATCACTAATAATTAATAAAATTTCATAAATTGCCATTCAAAATTTTGAAGAAGAAAAAAAAAGTAAATGATATAATAGAATTAATATTATAACTAGTTAGAAGAAGTAATTATTTATTTTTTGATCAATATACTTTAAATTTATTTTTACTAATATTAAAAGTTTTTAAACTCTTCACTTTAATCTCATTAAAATCTCTCTATTAATCTAAGGTATATTACATTTATTAATATTATCTTTATAATTAAAATTTTCTCTTTATTTAACTTTAAGTGCTTGTTTAAAATTTTATTTTTCTAAAAAAATTATCACATAAATTCCTACATTTTGTTTAAAAATGTTTTTTTAGTTATTTTAACTTAATTTTCATTTAAAATCTTTTAAATTAATTTTCCATTTATTATTATTTCATATTTTTTCTTTCTAAAATTTTTACTTGATAAAAACTGTTTTTTAGTTTTTGATTATGATATATTTTTACTTATTGAAATGAATTAAAACAAAAAATCTCTTTTAACTTGTTTATTAGCTTTTTTTTTGATTTACTTTTTTTTTCTTTTTTATTGTATTTGTGTTTTTTTTCTTCTAACTTTCTTAATTTAATTCATTTTTTTATTTTTAACATTTGATTTTATTATTTATTTATTAATTTCTTATTATTTCATTTTTTTCTTCAACTTTTTTCCTTTTAAATAACTTATTAATTAAATATTTTTTCTTAAATATTTAAAAAGTTATAATTTAATTGGTGCAAGTGGTGCATCTGGCTTAGGTTCTGCTTTAGCTAAATGCAGTAATCTCTCAAATTTAAAACTTCATCTTAAGTAAAATTAGTTTATTTGTTTTGGATATTGATATTTTTATTTTATATAAATAAATTTAAAAACTATATAGCTCTTTAAATGCTTTTTATTTGATTTACTTTTCTTTTTCTTTTTTATTGTACTTGTGTTTTTTTTCTTCAATCTTTCTTCAATTTAACTCATTTTTTTATTTTCAACATATTTTTTTGTTTTTTATTTATTAATTAATTTCTTATTATCTCATATTTTTTCTTCATTTTTTATTATAAATAAATAATTAATTATTTTTTTTTTTCAATATTTAAAAAGCTGGTGCAAAATTGATAACTAAGATGCATTGAGCTTAGGTTTTGGTTTAGCAAATTGCACTAATCTCTCAAATTTGATTCTTGATCTTGAGTAAAAACAGTTTATTTATTTTAGATTGTAATATTTTTATTTATAAGAATAAGTTTAAAATAAATTAAAGTTTCATTCATATATTAAGGCCGTTTTTAAAAAATTTTTTAAATGGTTAAATTAAGGCCAGATTTTTGTTGAAAAAAGTGTTTTTTATACTTGCCATGAAAAATGAATTACAATTATTTCAATTTAAAAAATTAATAGAAGTAATTTCTTAAATTTATTCAATATATCATAAATTTCAAAATACCATGTCCTACCCCATAATTTCCAAGAGCCTCAACAAAAATAAACAAAATATTTCTAACTCAAGAAATAATTTTCTGAAAATAGCTATAATATATGAACCTTTACCATTTATAGCATTTTCAACTTGTTTACTTAGTTTTTATTTGATTTACTTTTATTTTTAGTTTTTATTGAGCTTTTGTTTTTTTTCTATTACACATTTTTAATTTAATTCGTTTTTTATTTTCAATATTTGTTTTTATTATTTATTAATTAATTTCTTTTTATTTCATATTTTTCTTCATTTTTTCTTTCTAAATAACTAATTAATTATATTTTTTCTTCAAAATTTTAAAAAGCGAAAATTAAATTAGTAATGAAGGTGTATCATGCTTAGGTTCTTCTTTAGCAAATTGCATTAATCTCTAAAATTTGAAAATTGATCTTAGGTAAAAACAGTTTATTTTTTTTGGATAGTGATATTTTTATTTATAAAAATGAATTTAAACAAAAAATCTCTTTTAACTTGTTTATTAGCCTTTTATTTGATTTAATTTTGTTTTTCTTTTTTGTTGTACTTGTATTTTTTTCTTCTTCTTTCTTTCTTTCTTTCTTTCTTTCTTTCTTTCTTTCTTTCTTTCTTTCATTCTTTCATTCTTTCATTCTTAATTTAAATCATTTTTTTCTTTACAACATTTGTTATTTATTAACTTGTTTCTTACTATTTCATATTTTCTCTTCATTTTTCCTTCTAAATAAATAATTAATAAAATATTTTTTCTTCAATATTTAAAAAGTAATAATTTCATTGATGCAATAGGTGCATCAGCCTTAGGTTCTGCATTAAAATATTGCACTAATCTCTCAAATTTGAAACTTTATCTTAGGTAAAAACAGTTTATATGTTTTGGATTGTGATGTTTTTATATATAAAAATGAATTTAAAACACTATTGCTTTTTTAAATTGTTTATAAGCTTTTTATTTGATTTACTTTTCCTTTTCTTTTTTATTGTAATTCTACTGTTTTTTCTTCTATAATTCTTAGTTTAACTCATTTTTTTATTTTCAATATGTTCATTTATTATTTATTTATTCATATCTTATTAATTTCATTTTTCCTTCTAAATAACTAATTAATTATTTCTTTTTTCTTAATTATTTAAAAAGTTGCAATTAAATTGGCTCAACAGGTGCATCCGACTTAGTTTCTTGCTTAGCGAATTGCACTAATCTCTCAAATTTGACACTTTTTCTTAAGTAAAAGCAGTTAGTTTACTTATTTTATTTAGATTGTGATTTTTTAGTTATAAATATGAATTTAAAACAATATAGATCTTTTAACTTTGCTAATTAGCTTTTTGTTTGATTTAATTTTCTTTTTCTTTTTTATTGTAACTTTGTTGTTTTTCTTAAATTAAAAATTTTTTTTTAACATATTCTTTTATTATATAAAAATGCATTTCTTATTGTTTCATATTTTTCTTCAATTTTTCTATCAAATAATTAATTATATATTTTTTCTTCCATACTTAAAAAGATACAATTAAATTGGTGCAATAGGTACATCTAGTTTAGGCTTTGCTTTAGCAAATTGCATTAATCTCTCAAATTTGATATTTGATTTTAAGTAAAAACAATTTATTTGTTTTTGATTGTGATATTTTTATTTATAAAAATGAAAATAAAACAATATAGCTCTTTTGCTTGTTTATTAGCTTTTTATTTGATTTACTTTTCTTTTTATTTTTTATTGTACTTGTGTTTTTTTTTCTTCTATCATCTTTCTTAATTTAATTCATTTTTTTATTTTTATTATATATTAATTCATTTCTTATTATTTCATATTTTTGCTCACTTTTTCCTTCTAAATAACTATTTAATTAATTATATATTTTTTTTTTCAATAATTAAAAAGTCACAATTAAATTGGTTCAACAGGTGCATAAAACGTAGGTTCAGCTTTAGCAAATTGTACTAATCTCTCAAATTTGACACTTTATCTTAAGTAAAAATAGTTTATTTGTCTTGAATTGTGATATTTTTATTTATAAAAATGAATTTAAAACAATATTGCTTTTTTAATTTTTTTATTTGATTTAGTTTTCTTTTTTTTATTGTACTTTTCTGTTATTTTTTTTCTACTATCTTTTTTAATTTAGCTCTTTTTTTATTTTTCAAAATTTGTTTTTATTATTTATTTAATCATTTCTTATTATTTCATATTTTTTCTACATTTTTTCCTCGTAAATAAATAACTAATTAATTTTTTAATATTTAAAAAGAGGGAATTAAATTGATGCAAAAGGTGCATCAAACTTAGGTTTTTCTTTATAAAATTGCACTAATCTCTAAAATTTGACACTTGATCTTAGGTAAAAACAGTTTATTCGTTTTTTTTTTTGATATTTTTAATTATAAAAATGAATTTAAAACAATATATCTCTTTTAACTTGTTTATTAGCTTTTTATTTTATTTACTTTTCTTTTTTATTTAGCTTGTTTTATTTTTTTTCTACTATTTATTTATTTATTTATTTATTTATTTATTTATTTATCTATCTATCTATCTATCTATCTATCTATCTATCTATCTATCTATCTATCTTAATTTAACTTATTTATTTTTTATTTTCAATTTGTGTTTTTATTTTATATTTTATCATTTTTTATTATTTCATGTTTTTTCTTATTTTTTTTTTCTAAATAACTAATTAATTATATATTTTTTCTTCTATATTTAAAAAGAATTAATCGTTTTGGTTATTAATGTGAATCAGGCTTTGGTTCTGCTTTAAATAATGACACTGATAATGAGATACCTTATTTTGAGTAAAAACAATTTATTTTTTTTGGATTATGATATTTATTTTTACTTAAAAAAATGAATTTATAGCTTTAACTCTTTTTAATTTTTTATTAGATTTATTTGATTTACTTTTATACTTTTAATGTTTTTTATTTATTAATTAAATATAGTTTTTAATTAAAAATTTAATTCAATTTTATTTTTTTTGTATTATATCTTAATTTAATATAATATAAAAGTAATAATTAATTAAGTAAATCATAAAAATTGAAAGTAAAAAGCAAGTGTCTTAAATCTAAAAGATTAGTTAACTTTAAAATAGATTTCTGATGGTGATAGAAAAGTGATGAAAAAGGATGAATAATTATTAAATATTTGAATAATAAAAAATATTATGTATCATACATAATTTAATTTCATAAGTAAACCTAAAATATAAATAGATATGTTTGTTTTTTATATCTATGAATACAGTATTTTAATAAATAAATAAATAAATAGCTTATTAAATATATGAACATTTACTTAAATAAATTTATGAATTTCTCTAAATCTATCCCTCAGCTTTCACCAAATATAATCAAAACTTTAAATCTTAAATATTATCCTTTATCATATTAAGAAATTAGAAGGTTTCAAAATTTTAATCCATAAATTTCTATTTACCGTATTACCTCGATAATAAAAACGAACGAGAAACGAGGTATAGCTAAAATTCCTCATTATTAAAAATAGACATAAAAACTTCAAAAATTTATTTTATTATAGCCAGTTTCCATTCTCATTATCTTTTATATCCAATTTCAAGTTTCTACTATTTATTAAAGTACACATTTTAAATAGAAATAATAAGATTTAATAATTAACATTACACTAACTTTTTTATTATTTCCCTTACTAAAAGCAAATTTATAAATAATAAAATTTATTTGTTCTTTTTATCAACTTATAATTAATTAATTATTTAAATTTCAAAAAATTGATATTCAATATTTTTGACAAAAAAAATAAATGATATAATAGATTAAAGAATATTACTCATTAGAAGAAGTAATTATTTATTTTTATATCAATATACTTTATATTTATTTTTACTAATATAAAAAGTTTTTAAACTCTTCACTTTAATCTCATTAGGTTCTCGATATTGATCTGAGGTATATTTAATTAATAAATATTATCATAACTAACTAATTAATTATATATTTTTTCTTCAATATTTAAAAAGTAACGCTTAAATTGGTGTAACAGGTGCACAAGGTTTAGGTTCTGCTTTAGCAAATTGCACTAATCTCTCAGATTTGACACTTTCTCTTGGATAAATACCTTATTTGCCTTTAAAACTGTGATATTTTTATTTAAAAAATGAATTAAAAACAAAAGAGCTCTTTTAACTTGTTTATTAGATTTACTTTTCTTTTTCTTTTTCTTTTTTATTTTTCTTGTGTTTTCTGTCTTCCATCTTTCTTAATTTGAATCATTTTTTTACTTTCAAAATTAGCTAAATTTATGTCATATTATTTCATATAATTTCTTCATTTTTTCCTTCTAAATAGCTAATTAATTATTTATTTTTTATTCAATATTTAAAAAGTGGTTCTTCAATTGGCGATTTAGGTGCATCAGGTTTAGGTTCTGGTTTAGCAAATTGCACTAATCTCTCAAATTTGACACTTAATCTTAAGTAAAAACAGTTTATTTATTTTGGATTGTGATATTTTTATTTATAAAAATAAATTTTAAAGAATATAGCTCTTTTAACTTTATTATTAGCTTTTTATTTGGTTTATTTTTCTTTTTCTTTTTGATTGTCCTTGCTTTTTTTTTCTTCGATCTTTCTTAATTTAATTCATTTTTTTATTTTCAATATTTGATTTTATTATTTATTTATTCATTTCTTATTATTTCATATTTTTCTTCGTTTTTTCCTTCAAAATAGCAAAATTAATTATATTTTTTTCTTCATTATTTAAAAAGGTGTAATTAAATTGGTGATTAAGGTTTATCTGGCTTAGGTTCTGGTTTAGCAAATTGCACTAACCTCTAAAATATGATACTTCTTCTATAGTAAAAAATAGTTTATTTGTTTTGGATTGTGATATTTTTATTTATATAAATGAATTAAAAACAATAAAATTTTGTTAATTTATTTATTAGATTTTTATTTACTTTTCTTTTTCTTTTTTATTGTAGTTGTGCTTTTTTATCTTCCTTCTATCTTTCTTAATTTAAATCATTTTTTTAATTTTCAAAATTTGCTAAATTTATTTCTTATTTTTTCACATTTTTTCCTTCTAAATAACTAATTAATTTTGTATTTATTATTCAATATATAAATAGGTATAATACAATTGGCGATTAAGGTGCATCAGTCTTAGGTTCAGCTTTAGCAAATTACTCTAATCTCTCAAATTTGACACTTGATCTTGGGTAAAAACAATTTATTTTTTTTGATTGTGATATTTTTATTTATAAAAAATAAATTTTAAAGAATAAAGCTCTTTTAATTTTCTTATTAGCTTTTTATTTGATTTATTTTTCTTTTTCTTATTAAATGTACTTGCATTATTTTTCTTCGATCTTCCTTAATTTAATTCATTTTTTTATTTTCAATATTTGCTTTTATTATTTATTAACTCATTTCTTATTATTTCATATTTTTTCTTCGTTTTTTCCTTTTAATAACTAATTTATTACTTATTTTTTCTTGAATATTTAAAAAGTCATAATCAAAAAATTGGTGATTAAGGTTTGTCTGGCTTAGGTTCTGGTTTAGCAAATTGCACTAATCTCTAAAATTTGAAACTTTTTCTTGAGTAAAAAAAAACAATTCATTTGTTTTTGATTGTGATATTTTTATTTATAAAAATTAATTTAAAACAATATTTCCCTTTAACTTGTTAATTAGTTTTTTATTTGATTTACTTTTATTTTTAGTTTTTATTGCACTTGATTTTTTTTTCTTCGATCTTTCTTAATTTAATTTACTTTTTTCTTTTTAAAATTTGCTTTTATTATTTATTAATTAATTTCTTATTATTTCATATTTTTTCTTTATTTTTTCCTTCTAAAAAACTAATTAATTATTTATTTTTTCTTCAAATTTTAATAAGTTATAATAAAATTGGTTATGAAGGTGCATCAGGCTTAGGTTCTGCTTTAGCAAATTGCACTAATCTCTCAAATTTGGCACTTTATCTTGAGTAAAAACAATATATTTGTTTTAGATTGTGATATTTTTATTTATAAAAATGAATTTAAAACAATATATCTCTTTAACTTGTTGATTAGTTTTTTATTTGATTTACTTTTATTTTTCGCTTTTATTGCACTTGATTTTTTCTTCTTCTATCTTTTTTAATTTAATTTATAAAATTTCCTTTTATTATTTATTTATTTATTAATTTCTTATTATTTCATATTTTGTCTTCAATTTTTCCTTCTAAAAAACTAATTAATTATATATTTTTTCTTCAAATTTTATTAAGTTATAATTAAATTCTTGATTAAGGTTTGTCTGGCTTAGGTTCTGGTTTAGCAAATTGCACTAATCTCTCAAATCTGGCACTTGATCTTTGGTAAAAACAATTTATTTGTTTTTGATTGGTATCATTTTATTTATAAAAATGAATTTAAAACAATATATCTCTTTAACTTGTCAATTAGCTTTTTATTTAACTTAATTTTTTTCGTTTTTATTGCACTTGGTTTTTTTTTTCTTCTATCTTTCTTAATTCAATTCACTTTTTTATTTTTAGTATTTGTTTTTACTATTATTGCATCATTATTTATTATCTCATATTTTTTCTTCATTTTTTCCTTCTAAATAACTAACTAATTAATTATATATTTTTTCTTGAAATTTTAAAAAGTAGTAATAAAATTGGTGATTAAGGTGCATCTAGTTTAGGTTTTTCTTTAGTAAATTTCACTAATCTCTCAAATTTAACTCTTAATCTTCGGTAAAAATAATTTATTTGTTTTTGATTTGTATCATTTATTTTATTTATAAAATTGAATTTAAAACAATATATCTCTTTAATTTGTTAATTAGCTTTTTATTTTATTTACTTTTTTTTTTTTTCGTTTTTATTGCACTTGGTTTTTTTTTTTTTTTCTTCTATTTTTCAAATTTCACTTTTTTATTTTTAACATTTATTTTTATTATTTAATAATTCATTTCTTATTATTTCATATTTTTTCTTCATAATTACCTTCTAAATAAATAATTAATTAAATATTTTTTCTTATCTATTTAAAAAGTTGGAATTAAATTGGTGATGAAGGTGCATCAAGTTTAGGTTTTGCTTTAGCAAATTGCACTAATCTCTCAAATTTGACACTTGATCTTACGTAAAAACAATTTATTTTTTTTCATTGTGATATTTTTATTTTTAAAAATGAATTTAAAACAATATACCTCTTTAACTTGTTAACTAATTAGCTATTTATTTGATTTATTTTTTATTGTACTTGGTTTTTTCTTCTTCTATTTTTCTAAATTTAACTCATTCATTTTTTAATTTTCAAGATTTGCTTTAATTATTTATTTATTAATTTCTTATTTGAATTTTAAATAAAATTTTTAATTAAAAAATATATTCTATTTAATTTTTTTTATTTTTATATTTTAATTTAAAATAATATAGAGCAAATAATTAAATCAATAAGTCATAATAATTGAAAGTAAAAAGCAAATGCTTTAAATTAAAAAGATTAGTTTTCTTGAAAATAAATTTCTAATGATGATAGACAAATGGTGAAAAGGGAAGAATAAATATTAAATATTTCAATAATTGAAAATAAAATGTATTATTTTCTAATATTTTGAAATAAGAAAATTTAATCTAAAATATAGATAGATATGTTTGTTTTTTATATATTTATGAATATCAATTATATTTTGAAAGTTAATAAATATTATACACGTATTAAATATAGCTGTTCCTTCCTGCATTTGAAATATCACAGATTATGATATCATATATGAGTTGTGATATTTCAAATAATTTTTATATTACTAATGAATATTTTTTATTTCTAAATCTTACATAGTTTTTTATAAAGATTTTTTCTATATAGTATGTACTAATTGAATGGATTTTAATCAAAACAAGACTTATAGTTTTGACATTTATTATAATTATTAAAATAAAATAATAATATTTAAATCAACATGTTTTTTATATTCTATTATTACTTAAAATAAAAATAATACAGTTTAAATTGTTTAAAATTTAATTATTAAAATATTTTAAACAGTTGAATTAATTTATATGAAGAAAAATTTTCATTAATTTTAGTATATATTTATTTATGTATTATAATATCTATTTCGTTTATATTTTATCTAACAGTTGAAAGTTATTAATTATATTTAAACATGAAATTTATACATAAAAAATTTTTTTTTTGATGAATGCTTAAAGTTTAGTTTATAAAATATTAATTTACAATTAAAAATATTAATATATTCTAATTTTTTTAATTTTTTTCAGTAGTTTTGTTTAATTTTGAATTTGTATTAGAAATCTATCATATCTATAAAATTATTGATAATATATATAAAAATATAACTCTAATAAAATAGAAAAGTAATTAATAAATTGGTTAATAATAAATGATTTTATTAAACATATTAAAAACTCTTTATTTAAAAAATAAATTTAGATGAACACAAATTAAACAAAAATCAAAAAATAATTTATAATCTGTGAATCAATCAATTCATTTTCACAAATCATTTGTTTTTCAGTGTAAATTTCACAAATGTATTAATTAAAACAAATTAAATAATTTGATAGTTAGTTAAATCATCAGAAATGCAGATTCGAAGATGTTATATTTTAGCACTTCTCCAAGCTCATTCTAACGTTCTTACCTACATCTTCACCAAGATTATTATACCTATGAAAATAATATATATTGAATGTGTTGAAAATAATGAAAATAAAATAGAAAAGTAATTAATAAATGGGTTAATAATGAATAATTGTGCTAAACATATTAAAAAGTGCTTATTTATTTTGATGCAATTAATTCAAATAATTGTTTCAATTCGCTAATAAATAAATTTAGATGCACAAAAAAAATTAAACAAAAAAATCAAAAAACAATTTATGAGCTGTGAATAAATCAATCAATTAATTTTCCAAACCCATTTATTTGTTTTTCAGTTTAAATTTCACTAATGTATTAATTAAAAATAGACTAAATAAATTGATAGTTAGTTAAATTACCAGAGATTGAGATCCAAAGATGTTATATTTTGGCACTTCTCCAAGCTCATTCCAATGTTCTTAGCTCCATCTGCACCAAGATTATTCTCCCTATTAAAATAATAAATAATGAATGTGTTGAAAATAATGAAAATAAAATAGAAAAGTAATTAATAAATGGGTTAATAATGAATAATTGTGCTAAACATATTAAAAAGTGCTTATTTATTTTGATGCAATTAATTGAAATAATTGTTTAAATTCGCTAATAAATAAATTTAGATGCACAAAAATTAAACAAAAAATCAAAAATAATTTATGATCTGTGAATCAATCAATCAATTAATTTTCCAAACCCATTTGTTTTTCAGTTTAAATTTCACAAATGTTTTAATTAAAACAAACTAAATAAATTGATAGTTAGTTAAATTACGTGAGATCCATATTCAAAAATGTTATGTTTTGGCACTTCTCCAAACTCATTCCAATGTTCTTAGCTCCATCTGCACCAAGCTCATTTTACCTATGAAAATAATAAATAATGAATGTGTTGAAAATAATGAAAATAAAATAGAAAAGTAATTAATAAATGAGTTAATAATGAATAATTGTGCTAAACATATTAAAAAGTGCTTATTTATTTTGATGCAATTAATTGAAATAATTGTTTCAATTTGCTAACAAATAAATTTAGATGCACAAAAATTAAACAAAAAATCAAAAATAATTTATGTCAATCAATCAATTAATTTTCCAAACCCATTTATTTGTTTTTCAGTTTAAATTTCACAAATGTATTAATTAAAACAAACTAAATAAATTGATAGTTAGTTAAATTACATGAGATCCATATTCAAAAATGTTATGTTTTGGCACTTCTCCAAACTCATTCCAATGTTCTTAGCTCCATCTGCACCAAGCTTATTATACCTATGAAAATAATAAATAATGAATGTGTTGAAAATAATGAAAATAAAATAGAAAAGTAATTAATAAATGGGTTAATAATGAATAATTGTGCTAAACATATTAAAAAGTGCTTATTTATTTTGATGCAATTAATTAAAATAATTGTTTCAATTCGCTAACAAATAAGTTTAGATGCACAAAAATTAAACAAAAAATCAAAAATAATTTATGAGCTGTGAATCAATCAATCAATTAATTTTCCAAACCCATTTGTTTTTCAGTTTAAATTTCACAAATGTATCAAATGTATTAATTAAAACAAACTAAATAAATTGATAGTTAGTTAAATTACTAGAGATTGAGATTCAAAGATGTAATACTTTGGCACTTCTCCAAACTCATTCCAATGTTCTTAGCTCCATCTGCACCAAGCTTATTACTACTATGAAAATAATAAATAATGAATGTGTTGAAAATAATGAAAATAAAATAGAAAAGTAATTAATAAATGGGTTAATAATCAATAATTGTGCTAAACATATTAAAAAGTGCTTATTTATTTTGATGCAATTAATTAAAATAATTGTTTAAATTCCCTAACAAATAAGTTTAGATGCACAAAAATTAAAAAAAAATCAAAAATAATTTATGATCTGTGAATCAATCAATCAATTAATTTTCCAAACCCATTTGTTTTTCAGTTTAAATTTCACAAATGTATTAATTAAAACAAACTAAATAAATTGATAGTTAGTTAAATTACCAGAGATTGAGATTCAAAGATGTTATGTTTTGGCACTTCTCCAAGCTCATTCCAATGTTCTTAGCTCCACCTGCACCAAGATTATTCCACCTATGAAAATAATAAATAATGAATGTGTTGAAAATAATGAAAATAAAATAGAAAAGTAATTAATAAATGGGTTAATAATGAATAATTGTGCTAAACATATTAAAAAGTGCTTATTTATTTTGATGCAATTAATTAAAATAATTGTTTCTATTCCCTAACAAATAAGTTTAGATGCACAAAAATTAAAAAAAAATCAAAAATAATTTATAATCTGTGAATCAATCAATCAATTAATTTTCCAAACCCATTTGTTTTTCAGTTTAAATTTCACAAATGTATTAATTAAAACAAACTAAATAAATTGATAGTTAGTTAAATTACGCGAGATCCAGATTCAAAGATGTTATGTTTTGGCACTTCTCCAAACTTATTCCAATGTTCTTAGCTCCATCTGCACCAAGCTCATTTTACCTATGAAAATAATAAATAATGAATGTGTTGAAAATAATGAAAATAAAATAGAAAAGTAATTAATAAATGGGTTAATTATGAATGATTTTGCTAAACATATTGAAAAGTGCTTATTTGTAAAAATATAAAAATTTTTTAATTTTTCTTCAAAATATTTCTCTTAAATTAATGATTGAATTTATAAGAATTTACTGTAAATATTTTTTTTATATTATATCAAAATTATATTAGCAATTTTAAAATAAAATTTTATTTTCTGAAGTCGGGTAGCAAAAATAAAGGAAGAATTTGGGAGCAATTAATTAATTTCTGTAGTGATTAAGAATTAATTTCTAAATTTTAACTTTTAAGTATTTAACTTTTGCAATTTTATTTAATTTAATTATTGAATTTTGATATCTTATTTTCAATTAAAATTAATTAATTAATTCTATCTTTCATTTCATTTTATTAAGCATTTAAAATTTTTAATAACTTGAAATCTCAAAGTTATGAAACAATAAAGATGTTTAAAATAAATTTTATTTACAATATTTAACTTTACAATAATTATGATAAGCAAATACTTTAATTAAATGAAAACAAGTAGATTTCATTATGGATTAAAATCTATTAGCAAATAATAATTAATTTTAAGTTAAGGAAAAACAATAAATTTTGAAATTTTAGTGTAGATACTTAAAAAATAAGTACAAAATAATAATTTAAATTTATTTGAGGGAAAAAATATCAATATATTAAATCATATATCAATATTTGATATTATTTGAATAATTTATTTTAAAAATAAATTAAAATGAATTTTTTTATCTATTTAAATTATTTAATAATAATATAAATACCAGAAATGAAGATCTAAGTGGTGAACTAACCTTTTTGCTAAACATTCCTAGATTTTAGAGAGATTATTGTAACCCTTAAAAGCATACTTATCTAATCTGACTTCATTTTGTTTGCAAGTGTAGTTAAATTTAAGGAAAGACTGTCTGAATTTTGAAATCATCAAATTAGACTCCGTTAAATCCAATTTGTCCTTTACTGCAAAAATGAACTAACTTTCTAGTTTTAGTCTTAAATTATTTAATTGCTTAGTTAGCTCAAAAGAATCGATTCTATTCTAAGGCATTATTTCAAGCATTTGAACTATTATTTAGTTAATATCTTAAAATAAAGCATTTTTGCTTATATAGTTTGGTAGTTCTCCATTTCTGATAAAAGTACAATCTTCATTTTCAAGAAACTTTCCAAGGGTTAATTCAAGTAGAATAATTCCTAAGCCATAAATATCATACTTTAAATAAAAATTCAATTAAAAATAAGTAAGTCAATAAATAAATAAATAAATAAATAAATAAATAAATAAATAAATAAATAAATAAATAAAAAAATAAATAAATAAATAAAAAAATAAATAAATAAATAAATAAATAAATAAAAAAATAATTTAATAAATTTACTTTTATATTGAAGAAACCGTTATCATCAAATAATTCAGGAGCTGCATACTTTCTTGTAAATGCTTTGAGCTTTTATATATTAAGAATGTAAAATGCAAATAAATTTATATCGAAATAGCTTCTAATAAATAAAGAGTATAAAGTATTTTTATATTTTAGAAAAATGGTAAACCTTTGATAAATTTGAATTAAATGCTTTAAAATAAGTGTTAAAGTTCTAAAGATAAATAGTGCTGAAACTAATATAGATAGATAGAAAATAAATTTGAAAAATAAATAAATTTATTAATTACATCATAAGTTTTTGATCCATCTTTAAATGATTTAGAATCTCCATAATCACCTTTAAGATAATATATAAGAATTTATGATAAAATAAACTAATAATACTATAAAATTCAACTCAATAAGATTAAAGTAAATCTTATATATTTGAAATATTTATTTATTAAGAATATATATATTTAAAATATTCAAACTGTATATTAATGATTAAATCACAAACAGGTATTTAAAAAATTATTATAAATTCTGATAATCTTATACTTACTACTCTTTAAAATATTTAATTTATTAAAGAGAGTTTTTTATATAGATATCAATTGTAATCACATTTTTAGATGGGGAGAAGATTAAATTAACTTACAATATATTTGTTTGTTTGCTTGAAAATTTTTTTAATCCAAAAGTTTAAAAATAAAATTAAAAATTAATTTACATAGATTAAAACATTTTTCTTAGCTATCATATAGGATATTCTCTGGTTTAACATCAGAGTGAACCAAATTATTTTACTAAATTTTTTCAAAGACTGTTGACATCTGAATAGCAAAACCAACTATTTAGTTGAGTGGTAGTGGTTTTCTTTAATTAAAGAAGCTTTACATTATTTCTTTAAGATTGCCTAAAAAATTGAATAATTTTAAAAACTAAAAAGAAAAAAAGATGAATTTTTACATGAATATTTTTTAGAAATCTGATAGTATTTCGATTTTTTTTCATTTAAAAACTCTTCGATTGATTTCAAAACATAAGGAGTATCCTTTAGCAATTTCAGTATTTTTTGTTCTTCTTCGATTTTTTGAAATATAGGTTTGCTACATTTGACAGCTACTATTTCTTCATTGTACTTAGCCTCAAAAACACATCCTTAACGACCTTATGAAATGTAGGATGTTAAGTATATCTTCTTCTTTTGAAGCTCATTGTAAATCGATGTTAGTTCATCTTAATCAAATACCATAGCCTAATCTTTATGTTTCTTTTAGAATTCCTCAAAAATTTGTTAAAATTTTTCTTCAGGTGCCTAATATTTAAGCTCAACGTCTTGCTATTATTGCATGATTAGTAACAATTGCTAATATATAAAATAATTATAATGTTTAATGAATAAGAATAAAAAATTTTTTTTTTAATTTGAATAATATATTTTATTTTATTACGAAATCTTTTTTATTTACCTTTTTTATTTCTTTCTTTTCTTTCAATTAATTTCTTTCTTTTTTTCTTAATTAAATTATTAAAATTTGTTAATTAAAAAAGTATAAAAGTTATAAGTGATTTTCCCCAAAAACTTCAAAATCAAATTTATTCAATTACTTCCAGAATAATAAATAATTTATATCAATCAATCTCACTTTATTATGTAATAACTGTTTATTTTTTAGTTTAATTTAATTAAAAAAATAAAAATAAAATAATATTTATTTATTTATTAAAGCTAAATAAGGAAAATAAAAGTTTTTAAAATCTATTAAACATAAATCTGGTATGTAAAAATGAAAATATTAATCTTATTTATTAAAAATATATAAGAGGCAAAGTTTAAATTTTTTAATATGTTATCAAAGTATATTCCTTCTAACCAATAAAATTATCTTCTCATAAATAAAATAAAATAGAATAATTTAATTAGCTTTTATTTTACCTTTGGTTCAATTTTTTGCTTTATATTTTTTTCATAATATACTTATTTTAAATTTATTTTAAAATTAAATTTACATGTTTTGATAGAACTTAGAATTTCGAGTTTCAATGCTCTAAAAAAAATTTTATTCTTGAAAAGTCTAGTATATTCTATTGGGATCTCTAAGGTAACAATGCTGAAAAATACAAAAATATTGATGAGGTATATTTTAAAAATATTTTTGCCTTTATTCAAAAATTAAGGAATTTATTTATTTATTTACAGATAGATTTAACTTTAAATAATGAAATTAAAAAATTTGTATAAATTTAACTTCCCCTTCCTTCACTTTTCAGTATAATAAAAACAAATAATTATTTCTCAAAAGACTCTTTAGATAATAATCGAAGATAAATTTATTTTTAAATGATATTATTGCTTTAAATATAAGATTATATAAATAATTATAAATTTACTGTATTCTCTTTATGTAATAAATATACTGTAAGCTAACTCATTTAAAATATTTAATTTATTTTTTTAAAATTTTAACATAAATTTTAAAAAAATTATTAATAAATTACTTAGTTTTTTATAAAGATTTTTTCTATATAGTATGCACTAATTGAATGGATTTTAATCAAAACAAGACTTATAGTTTTGACATTTATTATAATTATTAAAATAAAATAATAATATTTAAATCAACATGTTTTTTATAATCTATTATTACTTAAAATAAAAATAATACAGTTTAAATTGTTTAAAATTTAATTATTAAAATATTTTAAACAGTTGAATTAATTTATATGAAGAAAATTTTTCATTAATTTTAATATATATTTATTTATGTATTATAATATTAATTTCATTTATAAATTAACTAACAGTTGAAAGTTATTAATTATATTTAAACATATTATACATAAAAAATTTTTTTTTGATGAATGCTTAAAGTTTAGTTTATAAAATATTAATTTACAATTAAAAATATTAATATATTCTAATTTTTTTAATTTTTTTCAGTAGTTTTGTTTAATTTTGAATTTGTATTAGAAATCAATCATATCAAAAAAATTATTGATAATATATATGAAAATATAACTCAAATAAAAAAGAAAATAGAAAATTAATTAATAAATTGGTTAATAATAAATGATTTTACTAAACATATTAAAAACTCTTTATTTAAAAAATAAATTTAGATGAACACAAATTAAACGATAATCATAAAATAATTTATGATCTGTGAATCAATCTATTCATTTTCCCAAATCATTTATTTTTCAGTATAAATTTCACAAATGTATTAATTAAAACAAACTAAATAATTTGAGAGTTAGTTAAATCATCAGAAACGTAGATTCAAAGATGTTATATTTTAGCACTTCTCCAAGCTCTTTCTAACGTTCTTACCTAAATCTGCACCAAGATTATTACCCCTATGAAAATAATAAATAATGAATGTGTTGAAAATAATGAAAATAAAATAGAAAAGTAATTAATAAATGGTTTAATAATGAATAATTGTGCTAAACATATTAAAAAGTGCTTATTTATTTTGATCCAATTAATTGAAATAATTGTTTAAATTCGCTAACAAATAAATTTGGATGCACAAAAATTAAACAAAAAATCAAAAATAATTTATGAGCTGTGAATCAATCAATCAATTAATTTTCCAAACCCATTTATTTGTTTTTCAGTTTAAATTTCACAAATGTATTAATTAAAATAGACTAAATAAATTGATAGTTAGTTAAATTACTAGAGATTGAGATTCAAAGATGTTATATTTTGGCACTTCTCCAAGCTCATTCCAATGTTCTTAGCTCCATCTGCACCAAGATTATTCCACCTATGAAAATAATAAATAATGAATGTGTTGAAAATAATGAAAATAAAATAGAAAAGTAATTAATAAATGGTTTAATAATGAATAATTGTGCTAAACATATTAAAAAGTGCTTATTTATTTTGATGCAAGTAATTGAAATAATTGTTTAAATTAGCTAACAAATAAATTTAGATGCACAAAAATTAAACAAAAAATCAAAAATAATTTATGAGCTGTGAATCAATCAATCAATCAATCAATCAATTAATTTTTCAAACCCATTTATTTGTTTTTCAGTTTAAATTTCACAAATGTATTAATTAAAATAGACTAAATAAATTGATAGTAAGTTAAATTACCAGAGATTCAGATTCAAAGATGTTATATTTTGGCACTTCTCCAAGCTCATTCCAATGTACTTAGCTCCATCTGCACCAAGCTTATTATTCCTATGAAAATAATAAATAATGAATGTGTTGAAAAAAATGAAAAGAAAATAGAAAAGTAATTAATAAATGGGTTAATAATGTATAATTGTGCTAAACATATTAAAAAGTGCTTATTTATTTTGATGCAATTAATTGAAATAATTGTTTAAATTAGCTAATAAATAAATTTAGATGCACAAAAATTAAACAAAAAATCAAAAATAATTTATGAGCTGTGAATCAATCAATCAATCAATCAATTAATTTTCCAAACCCATTTATTTGTTTTTCAGTTTAAATTTCACAAATGTATTAATTAAAATAGACTAAAT